ACTGTAGTAGCATGCCAGATTGAGAATAGTTGGACATAGTGAAGTACAAAATCCTCTCCATGCATGGAGCAAAGAGGTTCCACACAGGCTGAACAAACAACAGTTGTTTGTTTTGAGACTTAAGATTTCAGTAGCATTGTGTATGTATTTTGACCTCCCCGATCTGATAGCAGATTAGTTTGTTTAGCCAGCTTGCTCTAGACTACCCCAGGGACTGAAGCCATGGGCCCGTCTAATATCCACAATCCAACAAAAATAACACCCTTTGCCATTAGAAAAAATGTTGTTGTTATTGTTGTTGTTGTTGTTGTTGTTAGCAATAACAAAATGACATTACTTTTACAACTGAAGTTTTCCTTTTAAAACTGAAGTTTTGTTCCACTAGGATTTTATGAAGGAGAACGATACGTTCAGCGCTGGTCAATTTTTTAGCAAAGGGCATTAAACTGGCAAAGGTTTTCCTAAATCTGTCTTTACAGGGGAAAAAAATGCCTTCCTGTTCTGTGGGGTGGAGACCCATGGGGTTTCCATTGTTGAAGGAGGCATTCTTTCAACTTGGAGATATCATTTATTATGAAAGATCATGGAGCAAGGGGATCAAAGGTGCTTTAACCCAGATCAAAGGATCTCCCAAAGCTCTTCCTGATTAGTCATCATAGAGAGTCTATTATATGGAACCCTGTGGATGTTTAATTCAAATGGCAGCTAAGGCTGCTGTGCATGTATGTGAGCATCTGTCTGTTCATGATAAATGTTTGAACAGAGGCTGGGCCAATGTGTAGTCCATAGCCACTCTATTTATTTTTAAAATGTTTAACCACTGTATTCCTTTTCAATAGAGACAAATGGACACAAAATGAAACAAATCCACACCCACACAAAAGCCAAGAAACTCATGAGGAGAGTAACAAAAAAAAAAACAAAACAGAAATGAAATCACAGTTTAGGAATCATCTCTTGAATGACCTAGCCACCTCCAATAGTCTTGGATTATATCTCCCTGTATTTCTTTACCAATGGCTCTGCTGGCAGAGGTTAATGAGAGTTCAAAACATCTGGAGAAAATTTTGATCTGCCTTGCTAATGCTGAAGTCAGGAGTTTCTGAAGGCAAGATGGAAGGAGAATCCTAATGTGCATTTGTGTATAATTTCAACTTTGATAGCTATCCAGTTGTACATGAATGATGTCATTCATTCTGCAACTGAATCACAATTCTCACAGACCTTTCCTGTGGCTATTTTTGTTCCTATCAATTATCTAATGCATGGAATCAAATGATATATAACAGGAGTCTCAAACTCGCAATGTCACGTGACGTGTCGCGACGTATCGCAACTTTTTTTCCATTGCCGGCAATGAGGTGGGCACTGTTTCAGCATGACGCATCCGGCCCATGGGCAGGCAGTTTGACACCCCAGATATATAATATACCTAAGCAGGGTCCGAATCATTTTTATCTCAAAGGCCTGCTCTTGTGTGGAAAATAGGAGAAGGAAGGAGTACTCGGTATGTTTGACACCTTGAGTTATTTATAAAAAATAAATAAATCCAGGACTAAAAAAAAATCTAAAAAAAAAAAAGTGTCTAAAATGGCTAGAAAGCCGATTCAATCCAGATGACGAAAGTAGTAAAAGAAGACACATATAATTCCTGTTAAGACCATCAGAATTTAGGAATAGGCAGAGGATAATAGTTCCTTAATGCCAGAGGATGCCTTGCTAGACAAACCACTGATTCAGCTCACACACTTACATTGGTGCTTATTAAAAAGGCAAGCGTTTAAAAGCTTACCATGTCTGACTTTTCCTGCTATGTCATGGGCCATACTTCTAAAGTGGGTTAGATTTGATTTGTGAAGTAGGAGAATGTTGAACAATTTTAATGGAGTAGAATAACACTTTAAGTGTTTACAAGAGGGAAGGGACTCGTTTGTCTATTTCAAACTCTTCCCAATTTTCAAAAATGTTAAAAACGAATTTTAAAAAGTTGGTCTGTGTTGGTAAGATTCCTTAAATAAAGGTTTGCTTTATTTTGCATATATAACAAAACCAAATGACTTATTATGAGTCTGATCTAAAAAAATTATTCAAAACAGCTAAGGATTGGATAGCAAAGATGTGCTCAAATCATGCTGTGCTTGCTCTTTTTAAGGACTGTCTCTATTTTCACCCAAGAATCCAGTCTAGGGAAAGAGTGCCATAAAGCTGAATGAAACAGCTGCTATCTGTATCTACCCTTTGTACCAATCTGTGCTAGGATAGGAAACTTTATTAGTTCTAGCTAAATATAGTGGTTGGAGGAAAGATGTTGTCTGACCTCAAAGTGGGAGGGGGAAAAATCCTTTGCGTAACTTAACTCATAAAACAGTCCCTTGGTATCAAAAAAACAAAACAAAAAAAACAATTCTGGCAAAACGAGTGGTGGTGTTTGCAACAGCCTCCAAGCCTACCAGACAATTTTCAGGTTTTTTTTTGTTCTTTCTATGTTCACAAAGGCACTCCAGAATCCTAAGGAAACCAATAATCACATACTTTTCCAAGCCTATTATTAAATCACTTAATAAACTCCTTGTGCTGAGAAACAGCCAATCTTTTCTGACCCCCTGCTTTTCTCAGAGGTAGGGGTGCTACAAATAATGGGAGGGGGTTCACTGGGCCAATGACAGAGCAAATAAGTGGAAGGATGGGCTTTGGATTAAGAACGCATTACTGTAGTCCTTAGTGCTAATTGTGTAGTATCTATCTAAACATCACAACGGGTGATCTTTAACAATTGCTCAGAAAACTTCACTTGAGTGCTTCTTGTAGAAAAAAAATATACCCCTCCACTTTAAGCAGCCTAATAATTTACTTTCCCCTCCTCTCTCTCTTCAAAGGCACAATTTTCTCTTCAGAAGCACCAGTATGCACAATTTTCTGCCAGCAGAACTACCACAAGTCAATGCTAGGTTTGATTTTGGAACACACATCAAAGAGACTGCAAAAAGTTATTCTTTTGGCTGAACTGTCATTTCACATACATATCACACTGAACCCATGCCTATCAGGTCCTATGCTGGATATAGGTAGGGCAGGTGCCTATATCGTTAACTGCCTGGCTCAGTAAGAATCTCCTTCTGTGGCCTGCTGTGGCACCTGGGCAGAAACCTCATTTTGGGAAGGACAGCAGCCATACAAACATTCTGGCTGACATAAAAAGAAGGTTATTCTAGCAGATGCAGCCTAAACTGACCTCTCAGATAGTTTCTATCGAGAGAGAGAAAAAACATTTACCTGATGAGAGATGGGGACAGGATAAGCAGTCATTCCCATTGCTCAGCTTAATTTTCAGCTTCCCTTACATCACTGGCACAGGCTTTAGAGTTCTGGTAGGACAAACCCCAGTCTGTGAAAATGCCAGTCACATAATGTAAAAGAGAATGGTTGTATGACTGGTTACATCCAAGTGACAGGAAAAGCAATACACATCTTTACAAGAACCAACTTGCCTTCTTCCTTTAAAATATGCTTCAAAGTGCCTCAGCTCTTAGCATCAAATAAGGATTATAGCCACCTTAAAAAAGAATAAAAAAATGAGTCACAGGCCATTGCTTATGTAAGTTTCTCATGGGAATAAATATAACCCTATCAATTCAAGCTGTGCTGAAAACAGGTTAAATCCTCACCTCGCCCAGCAGTCTATGTAAATAATCCAAAGGCCTATGACATCTTGCTAATAATAGCCAATAGACTAGATCTGTTAGTGGTTGGGCGGGAGATCTCCTCTGAATCAATATATGCTGCTATGACAAAAATGGGGTTCAACTGCAATGCCAGCCTTCTTTAGTCTCATGCCCTTCAGACTTCATGTTAGTCTACAGCTCTCAGGATCCAGCATTAGCCCCAAACTACGATAAAGTCCTCAATAGTGATTTATAGAATCTTATAGCATCACCCTTCAGCAGTAATAAAGATGGGGTTTAGACAACCACACAATAGCTTGAGGTTGCTCTACTGTAAATCTTTGTTATTCAACCTTAGCAACATTAAGATGTCTGGACTTCAGGTCCCCAAATTCCACAGCCGTCATAGCAGTTCTTTTGCTTACATGTGCAAGAAGCATATTTGTGTCCAGTGAGTAAGCTAGATGAACTTCATGGCAGTGTTTTCTTTTGCAGTTACAGATTGGTTAAAGAGAGAGACTCAACTATACCAAGTTTCCCCAATAAGAGAGAGACTCAACTATACCAAGTTTCCCCGATAAGACCTATCCCAAAAATAAGACCTAGCTTGATTTTTACACATACACCTAATATAATCCCTACCCCCAAAATAAGCCCTAGTTTTGGGGTTAGACACACAGGTAAAAATCAAGCTGTGGGGGATGGAGCTGCCCCACGTGCCCCGCACCTCCTTAACTTGGCACCACTGCAGCCAGGCCTCCCAAGCTACATGGCGCATTGTGCCACTGCTACCACTCATGGCAGGAGGCTACGTGGCTCGTCGCGCCAATGCTGCTGATCACAGCAGGAGTCCGCATGGCTTATCACACCAGTGTTGCCACTCACACATGCCATGGCTGTAACACAACAAGCCATACGGCCTCCTGCCACAAGCAGCAGCACCGGTGCGGTGTGCCACGTGGCATCCGGCTGCAAGTGGCTGCATGCGGCTACAGAACTCAGGCAACGCCATGATAGGTGCCAGGATGTGGGAGGCCTGGCTGTGGCAGTCCTAAGGTAAGACATCCTCCAAAAATAAGACCTGGTGCCTCTTTTGGAGGAAAAAAAATATAAGACTGTGTCTTATTTTCAGGGAAACACGGTATCAGATAGCCATAATCCCAGTCAACCTGTAATTGAAGACATCAATAAACCAAGGAGAAGCCTCTGTGAAATTTGTTTAGGGCCAACCGATTGACATCTTCAGCAGGCTATAAAACAAAAGTTAAATAGACATTCCATGTGGGATTTAACCAAAGTTGCCTCATGTCTCTGAAATTTTATTGAACTTACTTGGTTACTCAGATTGTAAATCTGTTGCAGATCTTTTGGCTGTTTTCTATCTTTCACTTTGCACTTTCTTCCATGGGAAAGTTCAACATGTATGCTCCTCTGTCACTTAACACACTGTGAACAGGAATATGATCATGTGTTACAACAGCATAAGCACAGAAAGCAATAATCTTACTGGAATAAAAGCTTGGCATAATTCAGTACTAGCTGGTGACCTTGACCTTTAATATCCAGTATCTGAAGCTGATTGGACAGTAAGGTTCTTAAGTTTTCGCTACATAAATTTATCTTTGAGGAATAGCATTGCTTTGCCTATGAAAACAAAAGCTGTATCTTTAGACGTTGCATACCTGGTGTGTGTGTGGGGGGGGAGAGAGAGAGAGAGAGAGAGGGCAGAATGCAATCTTTAGAAGATCAGCTCCTGATAATTATTAGCACTTTAGGTTTTGTGCATGCTTTCTGGGTTAGAATAGCAAAACATCTGCATACCTGCAAAGTCAGTCGGTTTTGCTCTTTATGTATGTACTTTTTATTAGATCCTTCAGAGAAAGCCTTGCTCGTGAGTTTTTTTGCATATGAATTTAGAACTTGGCAAAATAAATAAACCAGCAGGGAGCCACAAACTTCTACAGTGACCCAAGTAATGTGATCTCTTCTCAGTCTGTTGTATGTGGATTCCAGGATAGTTCCCAGGCGTCTCTGTTTAGAAGTGTCCTTCAAGTTTCCATTTAGGAGAAAACAAATGAAAGCCTGTGAAAAATTGTAGATGAAGTTCCTTGTATGAGTGCTCAGTGGAAAAAAAATGGAAGAGTTACTAATGGAAAAACAAAGTGGGTCAAGATATCTGATATACAAGCAAACATTTAAATATTTTCCTTTGGAATCACAAAAAAACTAAGGATGATACCACCATAAAGTTAATATGTACATTTTCTGTCCCTGTTCAAATTATCTTGTATCATCCACACATTTTTTTCAGACATATTTTCATACATTCATTCCAGATCAATACAGTGAACAAGTTATACAAGAGTACACTTCCTTGAGGCTACAGACTGTAAACTTATTTTTTAGTGATCCTTAATATTCAAGGACGCTTTTTGCACATAGAAAATTATCAGTTCAAGAAAAAATACCTCTTTCTCTCATGTGTATAATGTAGAAGAACATTCCAAATTATGCAATCTAATTTTGTATCACTTAGATATAGTAATTTGATGATACAATCCCTAGGGATGTAGAGTTCACAACTGAGTGATTATATACCTGTGTAAATCATGAATTAAATGTGTAATTGCAACTTGTTTATTCCCCAAATACTGTAAATGGCATGTTCCAACAACAGAAGCAACAGTGTATACTACTATTAACATTCAATAGTTACACCACTCTGATTATATTAACTCTTGACAGTCTGTATAAGACACTTTTAAAAAACAGTTAATTTCAACCATTTTATAACATTTTTGTTTTAAAGCTGGGAGGGAAATCTCAGACGATCTATTACATGATTTCTTCAGTGCCCATTCATTCATCAGTAAAAGACTTAAAGATAATAAACTTTTTTTGTTTGTTTAAGGCAATTACTTAATCTCAGCAAACTCCTGTGTTAAGCACGGCTATTAACAGAGCAGGCCATAAATCACTGCCCAACCAGGTGGGTGATTATTCTGAACTGCAATCACTCTTAGGACCTTCTGAAGACCCCTCACAGTCTTAAGCACCTTAATTGCACAGGCAGCAAACTAACAGCCAGCAGTTTCCATGAGCAGCAAGGAGGATGTGCTGTAAAATGCACTAGGCCCATTTTTAATACCAGTCAGAACATTTACTTACCAAGGCAGGATGATACATGGGGGTTATTAGCTAGCACCAGAACCACAGCTGGGTACAGCTGATAACTCACTCATTCTCCTCTACTCCAAACCAGGCTGACTGTCTTGTACTCATTACAGAATGGCCACATCTACTGTTCCTGTTATTTGCATAGGCTTCTAATCTAGCACAAGGAAGGAAGAAACAATATCATTATTACGTGTTCCTTCCAGGAAGCGAAATTCTTCTCTAAGTGGGGACAGTACCAGGGACAATTCCGTGTTTATTCAGTACAGAATGATATGGAAGAGAACCACATGGTATGTCAGACAATAAAGATATCAACCTGAGCTCTGTCAGTTTTTGGTATCTTCAACATTTGCCCACCAGCCACTTAACTCAGTCTTCATCCTGGAACTTTTCAGATGGCTTGGGTCACAAGAGGAAGATTTGATTATTAGAGGGAAGTTTTTAAAAAAGGGCTATTGCATGGGTGTCAAACTCACCGCATCACGTGATGTGTTGTGACATATCACAACTTTTTTCACATTGCTGGAGCTGGGGTGGGCACAGTCTCAGCATGATGCAACCGGCCCACGGGCCAGCAGTTTGACACCCCTGGACTATTGCCTTCAAGTCATACTTTGAACCTTATAAAATTATCAGATTATCAGTTCTATTGGTCTGCTCAGCAGTGTTTTCCTTAAGATTTTTTTTTTTTTGAAAAATGATTAAAACTAGGCTGAATATCAGGAAAAAAATTGGTAGGCATATTGAAAACTTTTTTGGGAAAAAGAAATTGAACATTTGGGGGATTCTTTTAGGTTGACATAAAGATGAAGTGCCAAGGGGTGGAGGAGTTCCCTGATCAAAACCAGTATTGTATGTTTTACCTTTTCTTTGGGTGGTGGCTTGATAGCCTTCAGCAGCCCCATCATGTTCACTCAGTAAATTAGTCACTGTGACTCTTGACAGCTGATATTACATAACAGCATAAACTCATTCCCAGAGGCATTCTTGTAGAGAACAGATGGGAACTCAACAGCTACGATATTAACTAAGTTATTTTTCCCTGGATTCAAAGATTTAAGAAACAAAATAAATGGAATTTATGATTTTATCCTTTCTTACCAAATCAATAGAGGCACACATATCAGAATCTGTTTCACATTAACCCTATATCAGAGCAGACCTGGATAATTCTGTTTCTTCTAGGAAAGTGAGCTTCTACTCTCAGAGAAGTGACTAGAAGAACCCTGTAGTTACCGCTAGTCAATGTTGCATAGAATGCTGGGGTGGGGGGGGGGAAACCCTGCTTATATGCTTATAAACCACAGTTGGTCTCAAATCTCCTTCCTTCATGTTTCTCTTGCATCTTTGTAATCCATTGCTTGAAGAATGAGGGGTAAGTTACGAATGTTGTTGTGTTAATGCAACTGCTGTTCTGTTTTTTGTGGGATTCTTTAGCAATAGCTCTAACGACAAAACTAATCTCTACCATTTGCCCAAGAAATGAACAATTAGTATTTTCTTAAGTTTGACCAGCAGCCCTGCAAGGATATGCTGAATTATTTCTCTGCCAGTTGCATTGACAAATGGCCCTACTTTAGCAAAAACTGGAATTTGCAGGAAATGTTTGAAATGGTGCCCTCAAAGTGGGTGAGCCAGTCGTGGTAATGAGTGAAATTTCTACACTCCTCTATTCATGAAGTTATGCTTGGCTCTGGAGCATCTCTGCAAGAATGTGTTCCTTGGCGGCTTGTGCTTGTCCACTGTAAAAGTCATGCTAAGTCCTTTATAAGCAGGTCATTGATTTCAATGTTAGTCACTCCACAGCATGAATAAGAAGGGAATTGTGGCTTCGACTGTCTAAAGAGGCCCATCATTGCAGGAAATACACCAGTACAATTCTTGCTTTGATCCCTATATGCATCCCATTTTGCAGATGGGTTCTGGGAATGCAGTTTCTACCATGAAAAGAACTTGGATATGAAGCTCAGGAGCTTCTCGCAGCGAAAGCCTTGATTGCTATTGACTTTAGTATCCACCTCATCTAGGAACATTTGTTCCAGATAAAAGCAACTAAAATCCTATAGAAAAAATGTATAATCCTGGGATCCCTGGAATCATGCTTTGGGTATTTAGTGAAAAGATCACTATAGGCCAATGTATTTCATATATTGGACTGACCCAATGAAACAAGATTTGCAGAAGGAAGACATTCCTGCAACATGCCTTATACACTTCTCTACTAGGAGACAGAAACCTTAGGGAATTTTCTGAAAGCAGTTAGGAGAATTGGCCTTAGAGCTTACAAGAAATTAAACTAATTCTTGGTCCATGAAAAAAAACGTGACAAGAAGTGGTACCATTACAAGCATGGATATTAAACTCATGGAAGTTCCTTTATACAAAATTAGACTCTAGATGAATTTTGTCTTGCAGTAACACTTGTCTGCTATTATATTCTTTGAAAGGAAACTGTGCGGGCTGAACTACAGTATAAACCTGTAGCAGGAAAAATGTCTGCTCTTCCAAGAAGATATAGCCGTGTAGAAAACTACTGGGACAAGTCACCATGCCAATATTTCCCCTGTCCCAAACACCTCTTGTAGAAAACAGATACCGTATTTTCTGGCATATACGATGACTCGGCGTATAAGATGACTCCCAACCTCGGAGATGATTTGCATGCTTAGAAAGTTATCTTATACACTGGAAACTACCGTATTTTCTGGCGTATAAGATGATTCGGCGTATAAGACGACCCCCGACTTCGGAGATAATTTGCATGCTTTAGAAAGTTGTCTTATACGCCGGAAAATATGGTATATCTTTTCTGCTATTGAAGTAGTTTTTAGCTAACAGCAAATATTTAGTAATAGATGTTGAATGGTTTTTCAAAACCTGTTAGGAAAAGAGTTTCCTCCCCTCTTTTAAAGAAAGCCTCTATTTATTTATTTTTTTTCATCTGTTAAAGTATTCTACCCATGTTCCTCATTATCTACTCCACGGCTAAATCTCCAGTCCTCCAATTAATGTGCTCCCATGCTTCGGACAACTACCTGCTTTCTCTTTTAATCTGATCTTATTTCTCTATAGGAATTCTGCTAGCCAATTGAAATCTCTCCCTCGTTTTGCTGGCAAAAGGAGCTTAAGCTTCCATCTGGCTTTTTAAAAATTTCCTATTCTGTCTGCACTCATTTTTTCCACTAAAATTGCAGCCACTGCCCTCTAAATACAAGGATGACATTATATAACAACAATTAATACTTTCTTTTTTATGATTGTGTCTTCTCTCTTCAGAATCACCACAGTATGTTTTCAGATCTGAGCTCGTCTTAGACACCCCCCCCCCCAGGTTTTCTGGTGAAATTGGCAGAGGCCTGTATTATTAGGACAGAAGCCAATTTGTTTAGTGGAATTTCCTGTCTGATTTTAATCCCTCCTTTCCCCCCCCCCATTTTACCCCTCCTCCCCTCCTTTAAAGTGAGACGAAGGAAAGCTTTTTTAATTACCCTGCCATGGGTTTCCCCTTTCAGGATATTATTATTCTTATTAAGTACTTCCTCTTGGGAAGAAGCGGAGAGCGGAACCTGGGAAGGATAGTGGAACAGTCAAGACTTGTGTCCTTATTGTATTTTAATAACTTTCAGATTGGAGGAATGCTTAGGCGTATGTTTTGGCATGACGACCAAGCAACTAAGCAGCTCCAAGGCTGTTAGTTCTTTGCAGCTTTGGACCTGTAGAATTAATGAGTTGCTGATTTAAAAACCCTCTGGCTTGAATTTTCTGCTTCACTAGATTTGCTGTTTGTTAGCTTGGATACAGCATCCACAGTGGTAAACTTAGACATTTCTGTATACATTTGCCAGATGATCACCTGAAGGCTGGGCTGTCTCTTCAATAATCCCACAGCCCCCAAAAGGAAGATCCTCCCAAGAGCTGCTCTGCATGTTGCCTGGTACCCCAGGCTGTCTTTTTTTTTTTTCCCCTCCTCACAACAGGGAAAAAATTGGAAAGTAGCCAATAGGTAGAGAAAGATATATCCTAAGTGATGAAATGGCAGAGAAGCAATAGCACGTATGCTCTGAGATGTCCCAAGCTACTGGCTTAATGCATGCTATAGGTTTCTATGCAGACTTCTCTGCCCCCACCCCCCACTCCCAATTATTTGATACAAGAAAAAATAGCCTCTGAATAGGGTGAAATTCCATATGCAGGAAAATATTCAATCAGCCAGGAAAGCAACTTTATTCTTGCTGATGCCTTGTCAATTTTTTACCACTGAGCCCTGCCTAGGTTCCTCCTAATGGAAACACCATTTTGATAGGGTAGTTGAGCAATAGCATCCCAATTATCCACAATGGGGGAGGGGACAAGTTATTAAAAAAAACACATTGTCCTGCAAATTCTACTCATTCTGGTAATGCAGTAATTGGAAAAAATGAAACTTGGGTTCTGAAGCCACAGCTCAACTTTCCTCATCATGGCTGGCTGCAGGTGCCTCTGCCAAGGATTCTTGTCCTCAGTTGAAGGAGATTACCTACCCAATCCAAAAAGATGGGCAGATTATACTTTTAAGTAAGAAAAGAAACTCTACAAGGAAAGGTCATATGAAATTCAATACAAAGCTTAAAACCGCCTAACAGGACCAATAACTCCAAATAAGAATTTGAGATGGGGAGATCATACTGGACAGTCACACATGCAAAAATAATGTAGGTGTCCAGGTGGATTACAAGTTGAATCTTAGCCAACACAACCAAATATTTCATTTGTTGTTGTTTATAGGAGAACCAAGAGAACAAGGTCATTCCTCTCTGTTTAGCATTTGTCAGTCCACACTTGGGATATTGTATCTGAACACTGCATTTTACGAAAGCCATTAACAAACTGGGATATGTCCAGTGGAAAGCAACCAAGGTGATAAGGGGTCTTGGGGGACTCAGGTGCCTAAGAACCACTATGAAGAAGTCAGAATGAAGTTGTTCAGCATTACATAAGCCAGGATAAAAAAACAATGGATTTAAAAGTATGCAGAACCGAATTGGCATCATAATGGTAAATGCTGTCCAACAACAGAGCAGATGACTTCAAGATGCAATGGAATTTCCTTCACTAAAATGTATTTAAATAGAGAACTGCTGGGGATGTTGTAATAGTAGATTCC